TCGCAAGGGAATCAAAACCTACAGGGTATTTCCCGTGAACTCAGAATCTTAAAATTTGGTACGAAGCAACGTATTATAGCACAGATAAAGGAAAAATTGCGAAAAGCATTAATTTTTAGTTACATCATATAATAAAAATAATTTAAAACATGTACCTACGGATTTGTTCGGAACCCTTGGTGCGCGAGTCCGACTCGCACTTGGCCGGTTTTTTCTCTTTAAACACGATCACGGATAACATGTTTATAAAACACTTTAGAACCGCTGTTACATAGTGCATACTAAAAGTTCTGCGTTCTTGGCATCTTATAAATGTTTGAATTTAGAATGCAAAATTTTTTTAAAACATGAGAAACTCGTATAATGATTGAAATAATTTTTTGCGGGAAGTCGTGTGTTTTTTTATTTTTAGTCATTATTAGGAAGATGCTGCTGCCCATCTCTCGATTTGTCTCCCTCTGTCGCCTCTTACGACATCCACGGGATGATATAGGATAGCAGATAATATAATATAGCCAACACTCGGTAAAGTGAAAAAGTGACAAAGTAGTGATACTGAGACTACCGACTATTTTGGTCACTAATTTTCTTTCTTTTAGAATACATCATGTTTCTTGCAAATGACCACGTAAGGTGAGTCGTTTTGATATCGATAGTACACTTAAAATTTTATTTTAAGTCGCTATGTAGTACAGTAATTTACAAAATATTTTGCAAATATGCCTGAAAACGTGATCATGTAGTAACTGCTGGACCGATTTTCATAGAAACTTAATCAGGTTCTAATTACATTATAATCCTCATTTTAGATTAAATGAAACATTTATAGTATTTTCTCAAGTTTATTATTTGAGCTCGGGCCGTGACAGATTCGCTGCTAATAAAATACCGTCCTTAGCCACCTTTATCAGTTCTTACGTAATTAAACGAACAGCCATCACTATCGTTTTACGTTGTGTTTTTTGTTATAGCTGCTTCTCGAGAAACTCTTCACCCACTAGTTAACTTTATCGCCAGTTTATTACGACTTACGGATTCTGTAATGATACTAAATAGTTACCGTTGCAGATTTTAGCATTGCCTTTACAATACACACCATTTATAATAATAAAATAATTAAAATTTTCTACAACCGACTTCAATATAAATTTTTAGGAATAACTCAAAAACTATTGGTGGTATCACATGAGAAGCATCAGCTTTCAAATAGAAAGAGAATCATCAAAATCGGTTAACCCAGAAAAAAGTTATAAGGTAACACACTCAAAAAAACATACAGTCGAATTGAATACCGTCTCCTTTTTGAAGTCGGTAGAAAATTGTCTAAATAAGTGTGAGGCTGAACGACATGGTATTAAATATCATTATATATTTTACCAAACAAACCACACATATTCCTGATTTCTTTGCTAGCTTGTCCATTCAAAGGCTGTCTGGAAGAAATCGTTTGTCCGTCCATTGTAACTCTGATTAATTACTTTTTTTTTCTATACATGTTTTTGTTTGGGTGAAAAATAAAGAATTATCTATCATAGTTATTTAATGTGTAGGAGAGAACATTATATATTTTTCTTCAATCACATCAATTCTGATTGAAGAATGAAGCTGTGGCTATTAAATTATAGCGCAACACTCTCCTAATCGTCATAATCCATAGGATTATTACGCATAGAATAGTAGTATGAGCACCGAAAGTGAAGCAAGTAAAACTAACGCGAAACCGCGTAAGTTGACTCGGCGACGCGTCAGTGCGCAACGTCACGTCTTACGGGGAAGATTTCGCGAAAAATTGTAAAAATTACCGTTTCTGTTGTAAAATATTGTCACAACGGTGATGATAAACATAAAAGAAGTGATGGTATTACATTTCACATATAAGTTTATACATTTCAAATTAAATATAAGTACGTAAAACTAAAAAAATACTTACCTAAGCTCTCATAATAAAAATATTGCTAGTTGTGGGGAAATAATCACAATTTTCTTTTAAAAATATTTATTTTCTATTTGTGTTTAAAACGTTTAATCGCAACGCTCTGTGTAAAACTCAAATGTTTATATACAGATACCTACTTCTCTAAGTGTTAACATTATATTAACAATGGGTGCCTATTTAAAACTAATACGGAGTGATCAGCTAATCGCGATTCGTCGACGCCATTTTAACGCAACTATTTTATTTTAATTGCTTTGTTTATTGACTAAGGCTACGTTTTAGAGTATAGAATAAAAACTTTTTTATTTACAACATCATGAGATTATTAATAAGAACGCCTTTACTAACCAGATGTCACTTTACACCCAAACATTAAGCAGATGTTACGTTAGACCCAAACATAGCCTATTTTAACCGACTCCCAAAAAGAAAGGTATCAATATGTATGTACACTGATTTCTAATTTTGATCAATTCGTATATACATGCTGAAATTTTAGTGGTTGTTGTCCCGCAGCCAAATTATACTGTCTCGATAGTAGAGTCAATTTATTAAATTAAAAAATATTGCAATTAAAAAAGGGCAGATTTACAATAGTAATACCTCACAAGCTATTCGGGCGTCCAAACTAGTTTATGTCGTATCACTACGCTTGAGAGTTCATGTTATGAACATTTATTAGTGGCCCTTCACTGTGTAAGAAGCGCGCGGTAACGCGTGCGATAGACGTAACACTACATTAAGTCCAGCGAATTTTTTTCAGACTATTATAGTAATTCGGTATAAGCTAGCCTGCACGCCCGACCTACTTGCGAGATATTGCTATTGGTTTGATATCGCATTCGAGTTTTGTTTTTCTCGATTGTAAATCTGCCATTTTTACATCCTAATAATTTTATATTAATAAATCTATTGTACTACTAAGGCAAAATCATTTTACTTCAGGAAAACAACCATTAAAATTTCAGCGTGTGTATTGGATCAATCTGTGTGTATATCCTTTCAAATAAAAAAATCTAAATCGGTTTAGAAATTGTAGAATTCTGAGGTAAAAAACATTAAAAAATACACCAAATTGATAACCTCCTCCCTTTTTGAAGTTGGTTAAAATTAAACATTACACGATGTGCTTATTGTATTCGAGCAAATTAATTGTGTTTAATAATATTCTTAAATTTTATTACGTATGCATTTTTTACCATTAATATATGTATAATAAAGTTATATTAGTACCATCATTATCGTGTTTATTTTATTCCATTTTATATTTTCATAAAATACATCTTCGTACGTAATCTTTATTATATCGAATTTTTAAAATTAATAAAAAAATTGTGATTTGCATAATTTGATTGCAAACTTTTTATTTTTAAACAAATTTTTTATTTTTTTTCTATGTTTTTATTTTTTTCTGAAAGTTACCTCCACACTAGGATTATTTCCTGTATCGTGAGGGTAGGTTTACATACATAAATTTCATAAGGACAAACATACAGACCCAGAACAATTATGTATAGCCCATACAAATGTTTGCTCCGTGCGGGATTTGAAACCGCGGCTCTCAGTGCTGCAACTCAGTGTTAAGCCAATGCGCTACGGAGCCATCATGAGAGCTGTTTCAACAGTTTAGGAAAACATAATTAAAAGGGAATGCTGAATGCATTCACTTAATTAACTATGCGGTAATACAGAGGGAAGGACGGAACCATATGGAGTTTTCACTCTCATGTTTTTACATTTGAAAACCAAACACCGTTTTGCAAATACTAGAGTACTATAGTTCCTGAAATACTTTTATTTTAGGAGCTGCCAATTTTATGCGAGCAAACTTTCGTCACCCAACTTGATATAATAAGTCAATAAAGATATTGTAATATCGAGGGAAAAAGACGACGTGGCAATTCTGAGTCGTTGTCAAAAGGCATATTCGTCGCTTCGGGCCCCTGCCTCAAGGCGCGTTATCTAATCTTCCAATACATAGAGAAGGGTACTCGTCATGTCGACGAATATTTTTTTATCTCTCCCCAACGATCCACTCAACAAAGGATCGGCCATTTTTCCGGTAATTTCAGACTAGAGAGGGCATTACGTGAAGTTATGTATGTGATTGTATAATACGTTTTACGATGGCATAACTGTGGAATAAAATAAAGGGTGCGACGTTGACGATCCATTTTGTAAATTAAATGTTTAGTGCCGCTGTTGTGAGCTGTTCTTGATTTTTTTTTAGTTTTGTTAATTTTTTTAACATTATGAGTTTGCTATTCTGTTATACAACGAACAAAATTTTTACCTGTGTAGGTCTACAGAAAGTAAGAAAATTAAAAGAGGCCAAAGTTCGCTCATCCGTCAGTCCGGAATTTCTCACACGAGAAGTGTTGTATGTTGAATGATATGTGCCACTCAGAATGTTTTGCTAAATTAATCAAAAGATGGAGTATCGAACTGATAAACAGGTGGTTTAAGATCCTACTTTGTAGCTCTCTTTGGAGAAAGCCTTTGTTGTGATAGTGATTGTGATAGTGAATATAGCACATAACAGGAACATGTTGTCCTATGATTAAAACAAATAAACGTAAAAATTTCACGCTTACAGAAAATGGCAACCCCGAACAGAGCAGACAGACACAAAACAGTTGTCCACAGGTATTACACATGTGTTTCGCCTTCCTCAACCATAAGTAAAAAAAAAAGAAATACCGTTTTAGAATAAGGGTGACAAACGAGCACATATTTCATCTGACAGTAAGTGGATGCTATGACTAATAGACATCTACATCTATCTTCGATTAAGGTCAAAATGTAAATGCGTTGTTAAACCCTGAAGAACTAAATCTTCACTTACCATACGAAACACAGCAGCATTAAGCTGCTATTTTACGCTGGTAGTTTGTGAGAGAGTGGACCCTTCTCCGTCGGGCCCATCCATTCGTGCTGCAATCATAATATAGCTGCAGCGTGGCCTTACCGCTCGTTTTTTTACTGACAATGTAATGTTTTAGAAAAACACAGATCATTATAGTAAATGTATACTGTAAAACATTATATGACAAGACTCATTGAATTAAAATATTCTTAATCCAAAATCACAGATATTCCATTGAATGAAGGTGGCAGCATAAAATGGTCCATCTGTAAGAAAGCTCTCACGAATAATAATCTTGGTATTTGCGTCGAATTCGGCTAGTGCAGCTGACACTGCTGGATCTGAAATAAATACAATATAATTTAGATTATCCTTTAGTGTTAGCTTAAGAAAACCAACCATCATCCAATTTTGTCCTGTGGTTGTCGCATTGGTAGACCCAGTAGATAGACTTTTTGGCTAAGGAACCGCAGGCTTTATGTTTGAAATTTAGCTGTAAAGTCGATATGTAATGTATTTATATATATACAGGACGACTGGCGTGACTGTGGGCGTTTGTATGTCACTCACACAGATGGGTGACATACAAAAATGTACTGACTTCAAAATACGTTACAATGTTGCACCTACACTGTGCAAAATTTATGAATGAAATATAATAACCTAACCTTATAAAATAATTTAACCTCCAATGAAAATAGCGGGGTGTTATAAGTTTGTAGTGTGTATCTGAGTAAGTACAGATTTTATTGAAATATAGCTGAAATCACTTTCGATTAAGACACCTGTGCTTACAAACACAGGACAGTATTACTGTAATCCTGTCCTGTGTCCTGCACGAGCATTGCAATCTTGTCCTGTGCAGATTGCTACTTGAACAACGAATCTTTTCTAAGGCAGACACAGACAGCAAGAAATTACTATACTTTATATTTACCAGGAGTCCGAATAATACTACATAAAACTATATTTTGATTCCTATGTATACATCCAACTTCTAAACACCTCCTCTCATTTTTTGAGAGAGTTATTCTGGAATTATTTGGATTTTCATTCGCTGCAGGCACGTCGCAAATCAGCACTTAAAATTGATATTAACATTGTCAATGTTGCTGGCGGGTATCAATCCCGGTACGTTCGCGCTTTATAACATTAAAGTCGAGCCGCTAAACTACCATGACTCAGCACAGCAGTACGTGGAATTATAATTTATTCTCAATATAATTTAAAATAATAACCGACTGAAAAGGTAACCTAGAGAACTTATTCTTTATTATAGGATTCCAGAATACTAATGATAGTGCGTAAAGATGTGTAGCTAATGAACTTCATTACGAAATAAATGTTAATGACGAATATTTACCTGTACTATTTGCTAAACCTGGTCCTAATCCATATTCTGGCCTTTCTTCACTAACGTAGGCAAACGATTCACTTTCTTCAAGTTGTAAATTGTTAAGGTTGGGAATTACAATGGTTATAAAAACAGACTCTGAAAAAAAAGTTTTGTTAAAAATTTAAATATATATTATATTCTTAATATTACATTTTATATTTCCATCCAAATATCAATCGTATCCTGTGAAATGCACTCTTAAATATAGGCCTCCCCCATAGATTGTCTCATGGAGAGAATTTTTTCCGTAGTTGACACGCTTGGCAGGTGGATCGATAACCACTTTTTCTTATTATTATGATTTTTTTTATAGGATAAGGTTGACAAACGAGCACACAGTCCATCTGATGGTAAGTGGTTGCTGTGGCCCATAGACATCTATATCTATCTTCGAATAAGAATCAAAATGCAGATGCGTTGTCACCCGTGAGGACAAAGATGGAATGCCTCGTTTCCAGTAAAAAGGGTCTCCGGTTCTCTACACTCACCATACGAAACACAGCAGCGTTAAGCTGCTATTTTACGCTGGTATTCTGTGAGAGCGTGGTCCTTCCCCGGTTGAGCCGACCCATTCGTGCTACAACCATAATATAGCTGCAGCATGGCTTTACCACGTAAAAAAATTATCAGGAAGATGCTGTTACCATCTCAGTCTCTTGCTTCAGTTTCCCTTTGTCGCCTCTTACGATACGCACGGGTAGTGGATATTCTTACACCGCCACTAAACGGTACATATAACGTATTATACGATTCAAAACATAAATGTAAACCATTCGATGCTTGACTTAAAAATAAATAAACTTAAAAAAAAGAATAAATTATCTCTTAATGTCTAAAAGGGGGTAAAATTTACAAATGATGTTATTCATGCAATAATTCGACTGACATGTTAATCGAATTATGTTAAAGAAATTTTAATTAAAATAAATATTTACTAAAAACGACAAATCCGAAGTCCGATGTGACAATAGGTTCTCTACCCCTTCTGTGGAACCTGAAGTAGGTGTTATTGGAGCTGATGCTTAACCCTCTGAAGTCAATAGCAAGAACTAATTTATCCGTTTCTCTGTTGATACTGTAAAACATTTCAATAATATATTTATAATTATACTGTCAAAGAAATACAAATGGTTTTAAATAAAACGGTAACTTCATAGTTATGGTTTACTGTCTGCAAAATCATATATGGTAAAATGTAAGTGGCGGCATTTGCTAAGGTAATCTTTGACGGCCTTGAGAAGAAGGAGTGTGTATTATTCTTACCACATCTCTTCGAGCCAAGTAAAAGTTCACGACTGGACAGAAACCTCTCTCGTTGTATGGAGTTTTCGCCTTAATAGTCAATAAAATAAAATAAATGAATCAGATTATTATCGATAACATATCGCAGTAACAGACGTGACCACATTTGACGCTGCGCTATGAATATTTAACTCTGAGTTTTTTGTCTAGTAGTACAATAAGAATGTTTATAGGTGTCATCTACAAACCCACCTGTTGGTGCTTCACTGAATAATTATTTTACTTAGATATTAAATACGAATCTATCTTCGAGAAAGGCATTTTATATACATAAGTTTTACGTGGAGAAACATCATAATCCGGAACAATAATTTTTAGGCCATATAAAAAAAATATTTGAGGCTGCTCTTCATTAACGACTTAGATATTTTATTTTTGACATGTATCAAAAACCACGAGATTTTATTGTCGCGTCTTACGACCTTCAAGGGACGAAATGGGTTGGCCTATTTCCTCAATCCGCCACTATGCGGCAAAAACTAAATATTATGTACTGGCAATATGTTAGATTCTGCGAATAGTAAAGTAGTTAAGGACGGCAGCATTCACTGATCATATGTGTCAGTCATCAGTGGTCTGTGTACTCGTGTGTCACCCTTCTTTAAAAAGAGAAAGATAGATATGTTGTCACCACTAAAGACTTACATGGAAAAACTCGTTATAAATGAAAAGGATTTTTCGTTTCCCTTCATATTACAATAGTATTATGAGGCAATGTGGTTATTCCCCACTTGAACAAGTTCATACGTGCTGCAGTTGTAAGCCATCACCAGTGTGACTCTATAATGTAAATTTTTATGTGATAACGCGAAATCATTATTCGATTAAAAAGTTATTTACTAAAATTCTTCAATTCGTCCATTCAGTCCTTTCAATTCAATATCCAGGAATGTTGTAGTAATATTGAGAATGGACATGTAATAAGTAGCTTGAGCTCTGTAGTATGGTTCGGGTACTGGTCGATAAGCTATTTTACACTGTCCATTCTTGGCAAAAAATTGACGGATACAATTTGTGTCGTAGACTTGACAGGGGCGTTCGAAGTTTTCGTTTGAAACTGCGAAGAAAATTATAAATGTTAATGTTAATTTTATTATTGTTTGTTTTGGTTTTGATCCTCTTAAAAAACGTTACCTCCACACTAGGATTTTCTCCTGTATCGTGGGGGGCAGTTTACATACATAAATTTCACAAGGACAAACATCCAGTCCCGGAACAATTATTTGTAGGCCATATAAATACTTGTTCCGTGCGGGCTTCGTACCCGCGGCCCTTAGCGTTGTGACTCATTGCTAAGCCACTACGCAACGGAGCCGCCTAATTAAATATAATAAAGGTGACAAACGAGCACGCAGTCCACCTGATGTTAAGTAGATGCTTTCTCATGACATCTAAATTTATCCTTGATTAAGAATTAAAAAACAAGGGCGTTGTCACCTCTGAGGATTAAATTGGAATACCTCGTTTTCAGTAAAAAGGGTCTCCTGTTCTCCACAATCACCATTGGCCTTACCCTGGCCGAGTTTAACCATTCGTGCTGCAGTCATTATATAACTGCTGTGTGGCTGTATATTTGGCTTTGCCAAATTCCCAAAGAATTGCTTGTTTTGTAGTACTAATAGTCAAGGATATAGTATTTTTCCCTAGTATTTTTCATGACTCGTATAATGCCTTAAAAGGCCTTTAATACCAATAGATATGACATTGGTTAAAAGTGACGTAAATTACAGACCTATTCTCTTTTCTAAGGATGTTAAAAAAATTCTTTTGACAATCATTTTTAGTATCCTACCGTTGCATATAAATAAACGGCCAGACCTGAACAATTATTTGAATGCCATACAAAAAATATTTCATGCGAGTATTGAACTCTCGGCTCCGGATAACTCAAAAACTACTGGTCAGATCTTGATCAAATTTATATGAGACCTTATGAAAAGCACCAGCTTTCATATAAAAAAAAAGAATCATCAAAATCGGTTTTCAAAAAAAAAAACTCTGATGTAACACACATAAAAAATTAAGTCAAGTTGAGTAACTCCTCCTTTTTTGAAGTCGCTTGAAAAATCAGTGTTCATACAAAGCTAAATGATTAAAAACATATAATATACCTGGAGGTGGAAGAGACGAAAAATTCTGAGCAAAGCAACATGACGTAAAGAAAATAAATACACAAAAAAGAGTAATCATTGTGGTACGTTTACTTAAATTGGATATTACACTGTAACGGTGCCCCCACGTAATAATTATATATATGTAGTTTCAGCGTTGCGTGAGCGTTTACACGAATGAACATACATAATATTGCAGATCAAAATTTAAGCCATTAGGTGCAACATCCTCAATCAATTCTATGCGTTCTTGCTCTATTTTGATTTTGTATACAGGATGTTTATTTTACAATTTTTTTTTCTATTAAATAATTTATTTTTAATATTATAAGGATCAGATGCAGTTATGACACATTTGTTTTAAACTGAATGACAAATTAACTTACAGTACACCTTATGGTGGCTACAGTAACCCATGGACACTTGCAGCAAACTTCAAACAAAGAAGGGTACAGATGCGTTGTCCCCTCTGAAGACTAAGATCGAATGCGTCAAAGACTTTTACTATACAGTAGGGCAAGCACCACCGGTAGAAATAGGTAAAAAGGCGGCACCTACCTAGACTGACTCCTAGGAAAAAAGGAAATCTATCACTAAGTAAATAATGTAATATGAAGATAAGTCACGGTGTAGTGGCAGCGTGAGAGCATTCAACTTCCTCTCCCTCCCTCTTTCCTGTCGTGAGTGTCGTAATTCAAAATAATGGAACCTTATCTAAAACTGATGATATTCGGCAGCTATTTGGAATGCCTATGTTCAGCAGTGGACTTTTAATAGGCTGTAATGGATAAAATATAGTATTGGTTTTGTATTTTATACAAATTTGAGGAGCGTTGTTGTTTTATTTGGGTTTTATAAAGCTATGTGTGTGTTTTTTGTCACAAAGGTTTTAATTTTGTTACTTTGGATATATGTCGAAGCGTCTATAAAATACCGGTTGGATCGAGAGTAAGCGAGAGGTTGCGTCACTCTAACGAAGCGTCATATCGATGGTGGCAAAGTAGAATTAAGAAGGAAGTAATGGAAGTCGGGAGACCCCCCACTTTTTCGTGCAGTATAAAGTTCATAATAGTGTGTGTTTCGATTCTAGATAAGACAGTGTCATGGTTCTGGTCGTTGCAGAATTCTTGTGGTGCAGGCAAAGAAGATGGTATCGCTGAGAGGCTGCCCTGTGTTACATTGAGATGGGTAGTGTTCCTGTTGGTTTGCATACTTTGGTGTTATTATGTAATTATGTCCTTGACGTTACACCAGTGTGTGATTGTGACGGGAATATGATGTACTACGATATTGTCAAGCTGTATTGCTCTATATTGAATGTACAGTGCTGTACGCTGTCTCATTGCTGATAATGATTAACTGCGTAAGCAAGAGAGCAAGTTGAACACCCGCTCTCACTAATTAATTTAATAATTAAACTCATGGTGTATTTCCCAGATATAGATTGTGTAAGCTGTCTCTTTTGCTAACATCAGAAGTACCTATAAGATGCCTATCAATATTCAGTAGTTTGTTTGTTGATGAAGAAAACAAGGATATTTAAAGTATTTGTTTATAATTTAAAGTTAATATTTCTATTGTGTTATTTTGTGTAACCGCCTACGATCTGATATCACTGCCTTAAGGTTGACTGGCAGAAAATGCTCTTAACATTAAGTTCACCTTTTGTTTCTGTACATTGTGTAAGGTTCAAAGAATAAATAAATAAAAAGAATTAGGCTGCCAGAATTGCATTTAAATACAAAACATTATTTCTATAATGTTATTGATATAATTTGAATAATCTAATAAAAGTAATTTATTTATTCTTTATAATATTTAGTCCAGTAAAAATAAAAATAAAATATTATAGCCATGTCCGACCACGGAATGATATGGCTGACCATGAAATGGAGTTTGTAAATAATACATAAAAAAATTATTTCTTTACTTTTACGGCTATGTGGTGCAGTGACTTAGCATTGGGTTGCAGCGCTAAGAGTCGCGTGTTCGAATCCTGCACGAAACAAGTACCTGTATGGCCTATAAGTATGTTTGCTTTGTGAAATTTACGTATGTAAGCTACCCTCATGATGAAAAAAAAACTAACTCCGAAGGTGACGTTTTCTTAAAAAAAAAGGCTATAAACTTATTTTCTAAATATTGTTAAACTACCCGTTCGTCACCCTGGACGGAATTTATATGCTGAATATGGGACATACACTCTGTAGGTAGGCTTTACCGTAATCACCAAGCTTGTGCGTTGTTTTGTCAATTCTTGGTTTACTTTAACCAAGCTGGGTTCCTCTTCGCTGGTGTGGTATATCTGGCATATATGAAATAAATTTACTGTCATCGACTTAAACCAAAAATACAAAAAATAATTATAGACTATGAACACTCTGTATCATTTCGTTTAAATATAATTAATGATATACAATTACCTTATATTTATAAAAAATCGGTGCCACTGACTAATAGTTCTTAACATGCCTTAAGGCTAACAGATAATAGAATTAAAATTGGATGTTTACTTGACCATGTAACAGTGGTTCAAGAATATTATATGTGCCTGTGTAATATTTCTAAACGTTTTTAATATTATATGCCGTTTGTCATATTTTTGACGTGATCGTCTTAGCTTGGTGACTTAGTTCTTTTAGGCGCCTCTTGGAATAATACCTTAAAATTAGTTTCAGCTAAAGAATCCCGTTTACGAAGAACGGATTTAAAAAGATTAAGATCATTAACTCGTCCCAAGAGAAAAAAAAGAATGAAGGAACTGCATACTGCAAAATGTATAATATTTTAATTAAATTGTATTATTCATTGCTTAGTCATCGAAACTTTGGTTCAGTAACTTAAATACTCATTTATCAAATTAAGGTTTTCCCGCCAGGTATTAAAATATGTATGCCTGTACAAACATACTGACAAGCAAAAATATACACAGATTTCTAAAAAAATTATTTACGTGAATGAACAAAAAGATTTTCTTTTTTCAAAAATTGAATATAAAATACTATTCTATATTATTTCTATTTCTATGAGATGAATGATCATTTTATGGTGTCAACATACAGATATGGAATATATACCAATAACGTGCGTCAAAATTTCCTATGTGGTCCTGTAATGGAAGTATAATGTACTAACGTAAAGCAAAATATTATTATTACGAGCTCATTTCATTGGATTATTAATTTATGTCAAAATATGATATTAATATTTTAATGTCATGTTTACTGTCCACTATAAATATTGTCGGATCAAAGAAGCTAAATGGCCAATAAACTCAATGTCAAATTTAAAAGCCTCTTTGCTCGTGTTTCCTTCTATACTTACTTTATTGAGAAAAAGCTGAAAGAATTAATTCGGACGACTTTCGGGTTCCCTTTAAACTTTAAAGTATTTTTCGATATATATTTTTAAATTTGTTTAGATATTGGAGTGAATTTTAGTTTAAAATATTTTCGAGGAAATATAAAGTCTAACCAATACGGAATCCAACAGTGTGGCGGACTGCCCCTGTTACAGTTACAGTTACAGAAAACCTCTCCCGTTTTTCATCAGTTCATAAAATGTAGATAGGCAACAAAAATAAATCGTAATTCGCTACGCTTGGCAGTCGATTAACGAACGTGATAACGAATTTCTTAATTTTTTATCCTGAAATCTCCTCATTTGTACGCGGGAACTACCACTCAGTAAACACTTTCCAAAAACTATGAGTCTTATCTACTGACTAATAGTAGTCTTTTTGGTAACAAACGCGAATGGTTCACTAAATATATTAGTACTGTAAAAGTGCAATCATTCTAATACAA